TTTTGCTTTTTAAGGATGTTGCTATTGCTTACGGTTACAATAACATTCCAAAGAGAAAGCCTGCATCTTTGAACCCGTTGCCCTTGAATGAGCTCAGTGATCTCATAAGATCAGAGGTGCAGTGGAGTCTCTGTGTGATTCATTCTCACAAGATTCATTTATTCCATTCTTTGAGTCACTCTTGATTTTTGTATTTGGTACAGTTTATGAACGTATTTGGATTCTTATTTTCCTTGTAGATTGCAATGAATGGATTCACAGAGGTGTTAATGTGGATTTTGTGCTCTCACAAAGAAAATTTTGCCATGCTGAATAGAAAAGATGATGGCTCAGCAGTTACCATTGGGAATCCTCGTTCCTCTGATTTTGAGGTCTGCAAGTTGCATCATGGTGTTTTAAAAGATGTTTTGTATATACTTTGAAATAATAAGGTTTTTATACATTGTTCTCACCTTTTTGCTTCTTTTTAATATCATGTAAGGAGAAGACAATTTGTTTTATTCATTTAAACATACTGATTTTCATAGTTGATCTTTTAGCACTTGCATCGATTTTTCCTCTGCTTGGTTATCTGGAAATCACCTTTTTTATTTTAATCTTTCATTCCATTGCAAAGGAATTTTGATCTCATAGTTTCTTGTTGCATGCATGGGGAAATGATGTTTAGAATTAGGTTGATGATGGAAAACATTTGCTGCAGTTAAAATGCATTGAACTACTGTTATAAGTGATGTGACTATTGTAGAGCTTGTCATCAATGATTATTTATCTCATTGGTGATGACTCAGTATTTGATGATGTTTGCTTGTGGATAGTAACTTGATACTGATCCTTTATCTAAAAAAAAAAGATAACTTGATACTGACCCACAAATGATCAGCTTGGCAAATGAAAGGAAGGGCTTAAACTTTGTTTAACTTATGCTCTTCAAGAATTCAAGTTTGGCTTGGAATTTAAACTGATTTTCTGTTGAATTGGAAAATGGTATAAACTTATCTTTTTCTGCAAAACAAAAGTGCCTTAGTTTGTCCTTTCTGTATAGCTAATTCTGCTCCACTTTTGGAGAGGAAGTATCTTTTTTTTTTTAATTTTTTCTTTTTATTTTAGCATGTTTCACTTCATATCTTTAGAAAAAAGTTGTAGATATGGTATATCCAGTTATTAGGGCTTGTAAGATAATAATTGATTGATTACTCTGAATTCAACTATTATTTCTATTGAGGTATGTTTCTTTTTTGGTTTATTCCAGATAGCAGGGAAGGGGTATGTAGATGGTTCAGCTTCTTTATCTCGTTAAACTATTGTAATTATGTCAGGGTTGGAAGTGATTGTTATAAGTTTCTTTTTCTTTTTGGAATAAGATAATCATGCTTTAACTTTTTCCAAAAGAAGGGGGAAATTAAGCACATTTCCAGGGTATTTCAGTTCTTGTTGGTTCTGCTGATGTTTATTATCCATGCTTCATGTAAATTGTGTAACTCTGCCGTTTGCTTCGAATGTCTCTCTATGTTAATACTTTGACATGATAAGGGTAACTTTTTCCTATTTTGTCACAGGTTGTTCGAACCAGTCTTATGCCTGGCATATTGAAAACAGTAGGATACAACAAAGACCATGCAAAGCCTATAAAGGTTCTTTATGAGTTACTAAATATGAACTTATTTTTCTTCAAAAATGACCTTGACTATTATTCTACCATTTAAACTTCTTATCCTAATTTCACGCTATTCTTGAATTTGTAGGATAGTTATTCTGAGTTTTAGTTTTTATTGAGTTTACATTTTCATTAAAAAAGTCCTTGCAATAAATTTCACCTGCTTCAGCCTATTTTCTCTCTCAAAAGTTTTCCTCATGCGTAAATTTGGTTGCAGATTTTTGAAGTGGGTGATGTAACTCTGTTGGATGAAACAAAAGATGTTGGTGCATCAAATCGCCGTCATCTGGCAGCATTGTATTGTGGTGCTAACTCTGGATTTGAGGTAAGAGATCTTGTAAGTCAATGTTTAAGCTTTGGCTTTGTGAGAATTGAGCTCTAGTTTTATGACAATCATCTATGAATAATTCGGTTAAATGCTACTGTCAAATTCTTCTTTCTCCAACCATGAGGTTTTGCTTCTACTGTCACTTTGTCCTACATTTTGCATGGGTGAGGTAACGATCCTAGGTTCTTACCCCCTTCTTTCAGAAAACAAATTCCTGGAACTCTTCCCAGTTTACCAGCTCCCAAATTTTAAGCCCACCTAGGAAAAGAATATTTTTGTGGTCTCTGTATATCTTTCAGTTAGAGGCCGTTCCTATATTGCCTTTCAGTAACACGTGTGATGCTTAATTATATTGGAACTTCTGATCCAAACTACCATGTAAGAAGTGTGATCTGATATTCCTTTGTCTACACACAGGTTGGAGTATGTCTTTAGTTTGAAGGTGATGGGATGAAATGCTAGGAACAAAATGTGTTACATGAGGCCCCCCTGCAGTATGTTACAGGCGGTGGGGGAAATATTTGAGAAAAATTTAAGAAATAGAATGGGGGAAAACTAGGGATTGATTGACATGTTTAAGTAATGAATGTCCCAGAAATTTGGCCTTTCACTACAAATGGAACTTTTGGTTGTCTTCAACTAGGAAGAACATGAAGACAATCTTGCTGTATGGGTTAACTTCAATTTCTTTTTCCCGTACTAGTAGTGATTTTAAGATTTCGATTATTTGGTCCATCCTTGTTGTGTAGTTCATATTTTCTTTTTTTTTTTTTTTTTAAATTATTGTTTTCCTGAATTTCTTGTCTGCAGTTGATTCATTGCCTGGTAGACAGGATTATGGAAGTGATGGGAACTCCTTTTGTTCCTGTTGGTGAAAATACTGGATATTATATACAGAGATCAGATGTAAGAGCATTATTTATGTTGCAGTTTCATCAAACTACCTGCAACAGTCTTGTGTTGAAATATTTACTATTCTTTTGTATTTACTGAAGGAACCTGAGTTTCTTCCTGGTAGACAAGCCAGCATAATTTTTCACGGGAAACACGTCGGCAATTTTGGTATTGTGCACCCTGAGGTACTATCATCATCTGACAAACTTACAATTACATAATATTTATTGATTGTTGCCTTTGCTTTCCAAGTCTTTTTTTCCAAATCGATGCATCTAATACAGTTCTAGGCATAATCTTTTTAACTCCTTAGGCTACATTTGGATATCTGGATTGACAGGCTGGGGTAATTGACTACGGTAGGTACTGGGTAAGCTACTCATAACACTGGTTGGGATATACTAAATGAGGGGGTAATGCTTTGAATAAAAAATGTATGCCTGAAATAAGCATAATGCCTTTGAATTAGTATTTTAAGGTAAGATAAACATATTTTCATAACTTAGATGACAATAGTTGCCTTTTTCTGGAAGCTGCTTGAGCTTGCATATTCACCATAAATAAATTGGGATAAAAAAAGGAGTCTGTGTTGTCAATAAGTGTGCTCCTTGCCCCTGTGACAGTGAATTCCCCAACCAGATGATTGAATCATCTACTTTTATGGTGCTTGAAGGGTAGAAGGTTATGCAATTCAGTAACTAGTTTGATGGGCAGTCATTGGATTGGGGACGGTTCTATTCCCCTCAATTACTTGACAAGGATTATATTTGAGAAGAACAAGAAGTTGATTTAGAGATGTAATCTATATATTTCTTCCCCTTAAAGAGATTGAGGGACATGTTTAGATGGAGATGGAGAGTAATTGAATTTTGTTCTCCCCTATGATGCCGATCAATCAGGTACAAAATTAGGTCCTAATACCAACTGATGCAAAATACGAGTAGGAATAGATTTGGTTGATCTTGTTTAAGCTTTTGGGTACTTTGATGATGCTAAGTTGGAGGAATAACCTAGAATACCCTAAGGATTTCTGAGAATCAACTAAGAAAACAAGAATTCTTGAATTGTGGGCTTGGAAGGGAATTAGAGGCCGAAGTAAACAGATGGGTTTTAATCCGCTCACTATTTTTTGGGTTGTGTGGAAGGAGAGGAATAGGAGGGCTTTTGAGAGGGTTGAGGATATTAATGGCTTTGACATCTTAAAGAATAAATGGTTCCAAACTTTTGATTTTTTGTTACAGGGTCATCCTCTGAGTTCTATGGAGGATGTTATGGAACTTGTTGCTATGCTAGTTGATATGTAAATATTGTAATTGGGCGGCACCCCCTTGGTGCTTATATTAATACATATGCATGGTTATTTCAAAAAAAGAAAACAAGAATTCTTGAAATCCACTAAGAAAAAAATTGTCTTTGTTCACAGCTGAGAATCTTATTCATTCATGTCTAATATATATGGATACAAGAAAGAGGATGAAACTTGGGTCATTTGATAGGTGTATACCTTCCTAAAATTTCTCAAGGAAGAACAAGATTCTTTGGTCCCTTTTTCAAAAGGAGGCCATCATATTCTCACTGAGAAGAAAATTATTCAACGAAAGCCCACATAAGATTAATTACAATTGAATGTCTCTCTTCCAACGTATAAGGCTTGCTTATTGATAGCATTGTCAATACTAGTCTTCGTTTCTTTTTGAGAGAAAAAAATACTTTAAGAGACATCAAGAGGGTGTAAACCTAGGTGCATCCAAGAATATACAGAAATTACAAAGTCTTTAAGTGATAGAAGGTTCAGAAAGATCCAACATATCCACACCATTGAAGGTGAAGTTTCTTTTAAGCAAAATATTTTTTTTTTTGAAACAAAAAAGTGAGGTATATATTAACATGATACCAAAATAGAAGGTTCAGCAAGACATTGGTAATGTCTTACTTTCTTTTAAGCAAAATATAAAGGATTCTAAATGATTAATCTCTAATTTATCAACGATGAGTCTGCAAAAGCTCTTTTGTTTTGCTCTTTCCAAGTACTCCAAAAGATTGAAAGAGGAATAAAGGAAATAAACTTTGTCTTAGACTGTGGATCAGTAATGCCAATCCAGGGCTCAACTAATTCAAAATAGAGCCTTGACCGCCCACTTTAGGTTAAGAAGGGAGAGCATCAAATTCAGTAGTCTTCTAATCTCAGAGCACCAAAGAAGAAGATGGTTAGGAGATTCCACCTGTTTTAGGCAATTCTGTTAGCTAAGGGGTGCCTATTTTCATCAGATTTTCCAATATTGGAATTCGACCTGATGCTGCCTCCCAGGTAAAGAAGGCTATATGAGATAATGCTTTGGTTTCCACACTTGTTTCCATGGGGACCTATCCAAAAGTTGGTCCTTTTGCTGATGACAGTAGAGAGAGTTAACTGAGATTTTTCCATTTTTTAGAGATCATCATCTCAGGTTGTGTCAATAACAGATGTCTCCAGAAGCATCCGTCCACCTCCATCATTTAGGTTTTGAAGGAGAGAGTTTCCACTGGATTCCTCCACCAAACTCAGAACAATCCATAACCTTCACTTTACTCCTTAAAAATGACGATGTGAAGATATTTGGAAAGATATCCTTAAGGGGTCTCTCATCACACAATGGTTTTGCCAAAAAATTACTTTCCTGCCATTCCGGACCACACATTTGATATTGATCAAGAAGTCTGTCCTGTCTTTGTTAATTTTCTCCACTGGCTATGCCAATACATGTCTTTGTGTTTCTCGGTGTTCCAACTTTTGACATTTAATCCATATTCTCAATGCTAGTCCTATAATAACAATGTTTTTCTGAAAAAAGAAATTGAATCTAAACTAATTACTAAATTCTTTAATTATATATCAAAACAAATCATAATTAGTTTACAAGTAAATCCTATCTAAATTTGTAATTAGTAATTTAATCGAATTAATAACAACTTATTGACATATTTAGAAATATAAATCTAAAATAAGTAATAAAATGAATATTTTAAATAATAATTTTATCTCTATAGTTCTTAATAATAGTAATTGTATCTCTATAGTTCTTAATAATAGTAATTGTATCTCTATAGTTCTTCTCTACGTCGACAAAGGGTGCCTCCCACATACTAAAAGAAACTTGACATATTACCGAAGACACCTATAAGGTTTCCTTGGTCCTTCCTAGAGTTGAGAGGATGACCATTAATCCTAAATTTTTTTTTAATATCCATCTTAAAATGAAGGCCATTTCCCCATATCTAACAATGAATCTGCCTACCTCATTTATACTAAGAGCCATATGAATTATCTAACGATTCTCGACAAAAGCTTGTTGGGCTTTCGGCCATGAATTGACAATCACCCTACTCAATCTCTTGGCAAGAGACATAGCAATGAGTTTGTGGGTACAGTTCTCTAAGTTAATGGGTCAGAAATTCTTGATATCTGTTACATTCTTGACCTTGAGCATCAAGACTTTTTTGAGATAAGACCTCTAGCATCAAGACTGAGAAACTGGGGTTCAAATGAAGCCATACATTTTTTGGTTTCATAGGAATGAGCATAAAGCTTCATGACATCATCCGGACAAATTCTAGCACTTCTTCAAGAAAGTCATAGAGAAACACTGGAGCCAGAAACCTTGTTCTTTTCGAGAAATTAAGAAAAATACATAATTATAGGGCAAGTTACGATTTGTACCTTGTGGTTTTGGGCTTTCCAGATCCAATATATGTGTTCTCTTCCTATTAGTTTGTATTTGTAGTTTGATTGTCAGGCGATATAATTCCGTTAGTTTGAAATGTAGATGCTCTGAATCACAAAAAGTTTGACACAAGGTTAATTATTATGCTTTTATATGTAAAGAAAACTAAAATCTAAAATGATTTAAAAATTAAAACTAAAATAAGACTAAATAATAAAACTTAAAATAAAAAAAGATTTTGGAAAATACAGTGGGGGAAAGTTTTGAAAAATTTCTGCATATTGAAAGTACGACAACTTTTTTAAGTTTTTTTTTTCTTTTTAAATTAGAAAGTTGAATCCAATCTGTTTATACGTCAAACTTTTTAAAATCCACGCAATGCACGTTTAAATTAACAGTGTTAATTATCTTACTAGCTTTCCAACCATGAGTACTGAAAATGTTAAAAATAATCCATATGTATTTGAAAAACCCCAAACAGTATGTATCAAAATGTCCTTTGCCCTAATTTTTAAATATCAGGCATGATGGCATGCATCAATTGGGCCTTTATATATGAAGACTGATATCTATTTATTATGTAGTCCTGAAACGATACAAACCTTGATTGTGTTATCTATTGATGAATTTCCCAAGCTTATTTCAAAGAAGAAGAAGGAACTTTGAATTCTATAACTGGACTTCCAAAGTTGGAAAACTTCATTTCTGTTTTTATATTTTTTTTTTGAAAAATCCTTACTGGTAAATGTCAGTTGATGCCATGTGGGGTTTGTTCTTCTTTTTGGGTTAAACTTATACACCCAATGACAATTGTACTTGGACAAGCACTCACTTGGTGCTCTTGCCAATATTTTTATTTTTGGAGTCTGAAGAACTTTACATGCCTTCAATCGATATAAATGGAATAAAGTACTTTTAATAGTAGGGACATGCACTGGCTCATAACATGAACATCTTTGTCAGTTCTGACGTTTTTGTTGTGGAGCACCTTGGTGGTTTACTATTGATCTGGCTTTCAGGTTTTGAATAACTTCGACATACCTGATCCGTGCTCTTTTATGGAAATCGACATCGAGAGTTTCCTGTAGCTATTAATTCCAGGAAATCGACAAGTTTCTTGTAGCTCTTAATTCCAACACAGTGCGTTTTTTTTTTCCTTTTTGATATTTCCTTGTAAATTTTACTTCTTTTGCCCTAGAGGGTCTACATCTTTATGATTGCAGCAATTGTGACTAATTATCATTTGTCCCAACTTGTCTTGGACCTGAAGGTGCAGTTCTATTGGCTATTCATGATGGTGTTTTGAAGTTGGGATTTTGGGAACTGAAAGCCATTGGCCAACTGGAGGAGTGGAAAGGTTTGATTGATATAGCTTCCTTACTTCATCAAAACATTGTTTTGAACTATGTTATTTTAGGTTAACCCTTCAAAATATGCTATGTTCTCAGCATCTTTACTCAGGTCGGAATGCGTCAGGATTTCTGAATCTATGATTTATGATGTTTGCTAATTCAATGACTATTTGATGTTGAAATCATTATAATTATTATGAAATCAGAAATCGAGATACGCGTGTCAATTTTAATTCTCTTTCCATCTGAATGCGAGGAAGATTTCTCGTTCAAAATTGCTGGTTAACACAAGAGACTTAGTCGGTCAACCTTTTTTCCGTCTCCTTGAAACTTCCATATCGGCATGTTCAAAGTAGCTGAACTCTTCTTTCTTTCATTCACTTCTACTTTCTGCAAGTATGGGATTTGAGAATTCTGATGATGTTTTAATGATGCTCGGATGGACTCGAGACCTTGTTGATTATGGAACTTGTAATTATAAGTTTCCATGGCTTTTCAAATATTTCTCTTGGGTTTATTTTCCTTATATTTTCCCAATAACCAAACAGAAATTACTCTCGGTTATTTCTCCCAACTGACTACAAAACGAGCCATTAGTTCTTGCAGTATTAATCTATTGAGGCCAGTAACAAGGATTTGACACCAAACAAAGAAAACTATTCAAAACCAGAACCAGCACCAAACTTAAACTTCAGCAAATGGTAGCAAAGCATGATTCTACCCAAACAATAAAGAAGATAAAAAGAGCAAATTTTCAAAAGAAATAGTAAATTTGTAAGCATATTATTTCATTAAATAAAACTACTTTTATAAGTATACTTCATATTTAGAGAGAAATTAATATATTATACATAATTAATGTATAATATATAAAAAAAATCAACCAATAAAGCAAGTTTATATTATTATTAAATTATATAAATATCATTTTAAAAGTTTATTGGTCAATTTTTTGATTCTAAAATTTCAAATGAAAAATCAATTAATGATATTATTCATTGTAAGTAAAATATTGGGTTCGAACCAATTAACGAAACTATTTTAAATAGTTGATTTAGTTGGATCGATTCATTCTCAACCTCATATTTTAGCTCGGTTTAAATTCTAATTTTTTTTTTTAAAAAAAAAATTTAATAATTATGGCTCAAATTCATTGTTGGATTATGAATAAGACCTTTTGTGATAATCCATTTTCATAATCTTTTCTGTAGAAAAAAGTAGAAATTTTGGTCAAAATGCAAGATCCTGCGGCGCACATTCATAAATTTTGGTTGAGAAATGGAAAGAATATATGAATAATGTAGGGAACACAGCACAATATTATATATATATATATATATATGTATGTGTGTGTGATTGGTGGAATGGAAAATTCAAGAAAGTAAATAAAAAGTTGAAGAAGAAGAAGAAGAATATTGTGGGTGTGGGGGAAGACGATGATAGTGAAAGAGTGAAAAATATATGATGGGTGTAAAAGTTAGTGCAGTCAGTTCAAAACACATTATCAAGAGACACACCACCTGAGATGCTGCAACTTGTGGTCCTTCCCATCACTGTTTCCTCAGATACACAAGTTTCCACTCTACTTTGACTTGTGCTTTCATTTATATATGTATATATATATACACACACACACACATACACTTTACTTTTACCCCAAATTTTAATGACCCATTTCTGGTTTGATGAATTTTCATTATGGGTTTTTTTTATATATACATATAAGTTACTATTTTACTATTAAAATATTAGTCAAAATTAAATAATAACAATAAATAATGTACTCAGTTGAAAATATTTATTAACTAATTTAATTAATATTTAAACTACGAGAAAAAGAAACACAAGCTTTTAAATTTAAAATTTTTGTTTTTTTTTTTTTGAATTTGAATTTTTTATTTTTTAATTTTTTATGAAGACTAAGTAGGAGATATGGCTTCTCCACCTTTGAATTTGATTATTCATATTATTCACTGAACTTCTTTTGCCACTACCAATTTCACATGCACCATTTGTGTGTGTGTGTATGTATACATATACATATATTTGCTTTTTTCTTCTTCCTACAATATATTATTATGTAGGTGATGACATAACATGCTATACAAAATTTAAATTTATCTTTATTTGAATGTCTCTCCACTTATTTCTGATTATATAATCTAATTCTCTGGTTCAATTCAATGGACCAACTAAATTAATGATGAATTTTACAAGATTAGACATTATTTAGTTTAATTAATCAAGAATTCTAATTTTATTTTATTAATTTCTTCTAAATCTTAAATGGGTTTTTTTTAGACTAACTAAACCCTAAAAGGGTAATAATTCTTGTGAATTCGGATTATTGAACTCCATTATCAGATATACCGTCGTGGCTCGATTAGTTCGATTTTTTTTTTAATTTAAAGATAATTAACGTAAATTAATTTAAAAATAATTTTAAAATTTTAAGAAAATATAGAACCGAATAGTACAAATATAATTAGATAATTTAAACTCGAAATAATTTTGTATTCAGACCCGAAATAACTGAACGTAAAAAAAGTTAACCTTATTTGTATATGAAATGTAGAGACAATTCTGATGTCGTTGTGGTTCGAATAGTTCGTTTTTTTTTTTTTAACTTAAAGATAAATAAAATAGATTAATTTGAAAATAATTTTAAAATTTAAAGAAATGTAAACCCGAATAGTTCAAATATCATTAGATAATTAAAACTCGAAATAATCTTATATCCAAACCCGAAACAATTGAACATAAAAACAACTTAAACAGGTTTGGATATGAAATTTAGAGATGATTCTGATGTTCTCCAGCACTTAATTAATCTTAACTAACCTGATAATTCTTCAATGGTTTGTAACAATATCTACATACACATATGTATATATATATATATAGATTATAATTCAAGTATGAATTTAGTTGAAAGAGATGAAAATGAATTTCAGGCAGGCAAAGATGGCGAGTAACTTTAAGGGAGAAAAGTCAAGGCTTTAATGATTTCTTTCTTGGTGATCCTCAAGAGTAAATCCACCATGAGAGCAGGTAGTCCCAAATTTGGGTTCTGGCGGGGATTTTATATTATTTGTTTGTTGACTTGGAAAATTTTATTATTATTACTTTTATGATTATTATTATTTTGAATGGAAATGGTCATTTACATATATATATATATACATTTTTATTTATATATGATGTTAATGGGAATGTCATGTATACATATATATTATATATAATTTAGCTAGTTCTACTAATGGTGATATTTTATACTCACTTCACTAATAATGCATATTCTCAAGAGATATTCTCTTCAATTTGATTATTTAATTTTTTTTAGTAGTATTTTAAATAGAATGAATTAATCTCACTTCTAATTTTGATCAAATCACTTGCCAAGTGTAACGACTCCGGGAATCTTAAAATGAAATGTGTATTAAAAATATCAAATGCGGAAACGAAGTTAAAAATTCGATTAACATCCCTTACACTAAAACCAAAAGCGTGCTCATAAAATATAAAAGATCAAACTACCTAAAGGAGAAACTCGAAAGTAAAAGCTACGAATGTGACTATGGAGTCTTTAGGAGTCCCCTTCGTCGTCCTTCTGCGGAACGGGCTCGGGAACAATGTCTTCCTGATCTGAAATGATTAAATAAGGAATGAGCTACACTAGCCCAGTAAAGACATCACGATATCTCACCGTCACGGAAGTAAAGGTGGGTAAAAAATACAAAAGACCAATGGAGCATAATTTACAACAAATTCTTTTATCAATAATAAATCATTCACCATCCACTTACCTCGGTGAAATTCATAAAACAGTATACGAAAGCAATAACATTATCATCATCATGAAATCATATATAAACTGTATAACATAATACTTATCACGCCTTTTGTAATTCAATCATTACACAAACATATTTTCCTTATTTATCAGCCCACTAGTATCCATGGGGATCCATAGGGGTCCCGCTACCCGTTAACCCTTAACACTTAAAATCAGATTCCAGGGCCGTCCCCATACCCCGTCCGATATGGGCGCCAAAACCATAAACCCCATTACCCCATCCGGTATGAGGGTGAAATGGGCCGTCACCATACCCCGTCCGGTATGGGCGCCAAAACATATAAGGTCTTCATACCCCGTCCGGTATGAGAGACCACAATCCCGATAGTGTTCCCTACGGACCCGATCCGTCCACCATCTCCCAGGATATCTAGTCAGGCTGACCACATTATACAATTACCAATTTACATAATCTTTCATTCTCTTTTTCCTCAGTCAGCATCATCAATTCACATACAAACAAGCAAAACAGTAATTTATGCCAAACAGACAACATACAGCATCAATATCCCAGTCATTCAATCCATAATCAATAAAACAGTAAAATATGCACACGAAACTATAAAATGAGAACATCAAACCTCATACTGCATTTAAAACTGTAAAACATGCTAAATAACAGTTAACCGACAAACACACTAGACTCGGGCTCTATTAGCGACCTTAAGCAATTTCACACATTCGTTGATTCAAGAAATACCGTTTTATCAGTATTGAACTTTAATACCGTGATAGGAAATAGGGTGGGGGGTCCTTACTCGTTTCGGGGTCCGAACACGGCTTCACAGTGCGCCTACAGGCTGTCCCTAATTTTCCCTGAATTTTTCTCGGGGAACTGAAACGCACTACTGGTACCTGCACATGTTCCAAAAAATTCCAAATTAGGCCCAGGGCCCCTTTTTGGCCAATATCGCAATTCCGGCACAGCGGCTCCGCCGTGCTCCGGCGACGGCGCCGCCGCTGATTCGCCTCGGCTTGGCTGTTTTCGGCCGTTTCTGGTCGAATTCGGCCACACTTGTATCGGTCCTTGTGATAAAACAACCTTAGGGCCCTCGGGGGGCCAAAAAATTACGAAAAACCGAAGCTTACCGGCAACGGTGCTCTCGGGTACGGCGGCTCTCCGGTGAGGTTCGTGTTTTGGTGATTCGGCTCCGATCAACCTGTAGAGAAAAGAATGGTGATCATGGTGATATAAAAATTGCATCAAACGGAGGCCGGGAAGGCCTCATCGGAGGGGCGCGGCGGCGCCGCTGGGTTTCGGCCGTGTTTTCCAAACATTTGGTCG